TAGGGTTTAGGGTTTAGGGTTTAGGGTTCCACCTACGTAACGCCTTCTTCTTCTCGGGGTGTATGTACGTACACCCCAAAGTATTTGCATGCATGCATGCATGCAGCAACAAATGCATGCATGCATGCATGCATGCATGCAGGGAGGTTTATTTACGTGTTTGTTTGGGTTTAGTTTATACAGAGAAAGAAATGCATGCGTTTGCATGCAGCTCTTTCTTTGGTTGTGCTGCCTGAAGCCTCAATGCATGCATTAAGTGCTGACGTATATATAACATATATATAATATAGAGTGCGTATTATATATAATATCTATTGTATATTCTATACAATATTTATAATATATACTATATAAACAACAAACTTATAAATGCATGCACTTGCATGCATGCAGGCAGCTACCTTCGGTTGGTTTAAATGTCCAAATCTTTTAAACGCCAGCCACCTCCAATTCGTTTCAAGCCCCAAACAAACTCGTAAAAAACGCATGCATGCATGCATGCATGCAAAGCAGTAGCTCCTAGAGTTGAGGTTAGCTGCAGTGTCTCTGTGTCTCTCTCTGTCTTCTGTCTCTTTTGCGAGACAGCGAAGAGTCAATGCCTCCGGCTGCTAAACGCATGCAGTAGAAAAGCCCCAACAAACTCTATATGCACACTCCTGCTGCTGCTGCTGCTGCAGCGGGGCTGCATACAGGAACGCATTCTCTTACATGCATAACGCATCCATGAAGACATGCATGCATGCATGCATGCATGCATGCATTAAAGCGCATGTACGCATGCATGCATGTATGCATGCATTAAAGCACATGTACGCCTGGATGCATGCATGTATGCATGCATTAAAGCACATGTACGCCTGGATGAATGCATGCATGCATGCATGCATCAGAGCGCATGCATGCATGCATGCATGCATGCATGCATGCATGCATGGAAAGTGGGTGGATGGATGAATAGTTTTATTTGAGTATATTTTGCAAGGAAGTGCAGAGCCCGTCGATTTGCACTTGGCCTTCCTTCGGCAGTTTTAATAAATCAAAAAACTCCGCTGCCTCCGCGTCTGACAATTTTTCATTGAAGTTTTCGAGCAAAAAACGCAAAGCCCCAACGTCAATAACACCCGAACCCGAAGGGTCTACCACCTGCATGCATGCACATTTATATATATATATATATTATATATAATATATATAACCCTAAGCCCTAAACCCTTAACCCTAGCAAGCAATGAAAGGTCTATCATCTGCATGCATGCGCAGCCAATATACACCCCTAAACCCAAAACCCCTGGCTAGCTAGCTAGCTAGCTATCTAGCTACCTAGCGAGCTAGCTAGCTAGCTAGCTAGCTATCTAGCCACCTAGCAAGCCACCTAACTAGCTAACTAGCTAGCCACCTAACTAGCTAACTAGCTAGCCACCTAGCTAGCTAGCTAGCTAGCTAGTAGTTTGTCTGACCTTGAAGAGAGGCTTTAGGGTGTCTGCAGTGGGGCGCGTGTTTTGGAATTTGTTGATGAGGGTTTTGAAGAACTGCAAATCGGAGCCTCCTTCTCCCGCCTCCTTCACTGCCAACTGCACGTCTTCTATGCTGCACACAGCAGCAGCAGCAGCAGCAGCAGCAGCAGCAGCAGCAGCAGCAGCAGGAGTAGGGGTTGGGGTTAGGGTACGGGTTGGGGTTGAGGTGGATGCGGAGAGACAGATAAGGAGACGCAAAAGGAGACAAAAAAATGAAGACAAAATATGCAGTGAATGAATACTGCAGCTGTTGGGTTGTTGGGGTGTCTCTGTCTCACTAGCTAGCCACCTAACTAGCTAACTAGCTAGCCACCTAACTAGCTAACTAGCTAGCCACCTAGCTAGCTAGCTAGCTAGCTAGTAGTTTGTCTGACCTTGAAGAGAGGCTTTAGGGTGTCTGCAGTGGGGCGCGTGTTTTGGAATTTGTTGATGAGGGTTTTGAAGAACTGCAAATCGGAGCCTCCTTCTCCCGCCTCCTTCACTGCCAACTGCACGTCTTCTATGCTGCACACAGCAGCAGCAGCAGCAGCAGCAGCAGCAGCAGCAGCAGCAGCAGCAGGAGTAGGGGTTGGGGTTAGGGTACGGGTTGGGGTTGAGGTGGATGCGGAGAGACAGATAAGGAGACGCAAAAGGAGACAAAAAAATGAAGACAAAATATGCAGTGAATGAATACTGCAGCTGTTGGGTTGTTGGGGTGTCTCTGTCTCCGTCTCTGTCTCCTTGCTTGTCTCTGTCTCTGTCTTTTTGTTTGTCTCTGTCTCTGTCTCTTTGTTTGTCTCTGTCTCTGTTTCTATTTGTTTGTCTCTGTTTCTCTGTCTCTGCCTGTTCGTTTGTCTCTTTCTCTGTCTCCATTTGTTTGTTTGTCTCTGTCTCTGTCTGTCTATTTGTTTGTTTGTCTCTGTCTCCTTTTCTGTTTCCTTGACTCTGTCTCTGTACCTATTTCTTTGTTTGTTTCTGTCTCTCTTTGCATGCATTTGTTTGTGTCTTTTTGTGTTTGTGTCTCTGTCTGTATTTGTTAATATGGTTTTCTGTCGCTCTCTATCTCCC